ACATAAGAGGTGCACAGAAAGCCCAGAACCTGGCACCCATATACAGAAGTTAACTTAGAATGGATCAGAGACCCAATATAAAATAAAAAACTAACACTTTGGGGAGAAAATCTAGGAGAAAATCTTTGTGAACTTAAGTTATGTAGAGATTTCTTAGATGCAACACCAAAAGCATTGTCCATAGAAGAGAAAAATTGATAAATTTGGGCTTCATAAAGATCAGGAACTTCTCTTCAAAAGACAAGAGAATAAGAAGTTAAGCCATGGTATTGAAGAAAATATTTACAAATCACATATTTGGTAAATCACATATTTGTATCTAAAACATATAGAGAACTCTCAATTATTAGAATGCAATACAACCCCCCAAAACTGGAAAAAGATTTGAGCAGATACTTCACCCATGAACACAGATGGGTGGCGAAAAACACAGAGAAAGATATCCATCACTAGTCATTAGAGAAACACAAAACAAAACCATGATGGATCCTATACATACCTATTGGAGTGTTTAAAATAAAAAAGCTGATCATCCCAAATGCTGGTGAGGGTCTGGAACTCTCCTGCACTGCTGGTGGGGAGGTAAAATGTTGCAGTCATTTGGGGGAATGGTTTGGTAGTTTCTTAAAATGTTAAACATATATCTATCATATGACCCAGCCATTCTAGTCCTAGAAATTTACCCAAGAAACATGAAAGCCTATGTCCAAAGACTTGAACATGAATGTTCAAAGCAGCTTTACTGTGACATTTAAAAACTGGAAACAGACCAAATGCCCATTAACAGGTCAATGGATAAACAAGCTGTGGTGTATTCATACAAGGGAATACTATTCAGCAATACAAAAGAAACAAATTATTATTGATACATGCAACTAAATGGACAAATCTCAAAACAATTATTCTCAGTTAAAGAAACCAGAGAAGGGAGAGTATATACTATATGATTCCATTTATATAAACTCTTAGACAATGCAAATTAATTTATAGTGACAGGAAGCAGATCACTGATTTCCTGGGGATGAAGGCTGGGGCAGGAGATAGGGGTCACAAAGGGATACTAGGAAGCTTTTAGGGTGATGGATATATTCACTGTCTTGATTATGACAATGGATGCACGAATGTATACATATGTCAAAATGTATCAAATTGTGTACTTTAAATGTGTGCAGTTTATTGTCTGTCAATAAGGCTGTTAAAAAAAAAGAAAATCATAGTGCCTGGTCCATAAAATACTGTCTTGAGGAGTTTCAAGGTGAAACAGTGACAGGTCAGTCCCCATCAGAGGCTGGCCCTCCCGTGGTGGGTAGTGCTGGGGAGGCCAAGGCCACTACTCTATTCTCACAGACCATTTGGTTTCTATGAGATCTCCCATCTTTGCTGCTGGAACCTTCGTCCAGTCAGTAATGGTAAGTGAGTCTCACTGGTCCAAAGGAGACTGAGAGAGAAAGTTAACCCACTCCCAGGATGCGACCTCTTGGGAAATCCTCAAAGCCTACATCCTTCTACTGGCTTCTGTCAGCAGCATCCTTAGGGATAGAGAGTGGATCAGCTCGCTGACCTCTAGGCAGCTGGTCCCTCCCTCTTCATCAGACATATCACAAACTGCCTTGAATTGTAATCTTTCAGGTGCTTACACAAATCTTTTCTATTAGATTGTACCCCAACACGTTTCTTTTTTGCTGTGGCTGCTAGGAAGCTCACAATCAGTGATGGTGCCTAGCTCTAATGATTAACTCATCCTAGGTGCCTAGCACTAGGTAGTTTCCTGCTCCTTTTAGCTGGTTTTTATTATTGATTGGTTTCAATATTTTTATTTTTAACATATCTGCTTTATGGTGTGTTCCTTCATATGATGTAATCTCAGGTTCTTTCCACAAATAGGTGGGGTTTAAATCATTATAAAAAGAAAAGTCCCTCTGGTGCTCTGCATGAGGTCAATGGGCATGTCCCGCACATTTTTCCTGTGTCCCACCATATCTGGGAGAGCACATTGCACGGGACAAATGCTCATTACAAAGATGTGACTACATTAGATAATTCTTAATAATTATGTTAAGGCCTTTCCCAAGGGAAGTTCTGTAAGGAAACTGAGTGACAACCTGATGCAAACTGTTAATATCTTTTCTGTTTTCTATTGCCGGTGGCACTTGTCTGGCAATGTCAAAGAAGCTGCTAAGATGCCAGCTTTCATATCTATTTGGTTCCTGGACCCTAAGTGTCTCACTGGATGGACAGACTAAGAGGGCACTTTCCCAGGGACTCACTCACAGGGAATTTTTGCTTCTCTGAGAGGAAATCAATGGCATGAGTCTGGTCCTCACTGCTTCCAGTGGTGGCACCCATCTCTCCCAGGTTTGTTCCCCTTAGATTCCCTGTCTGGTGCCTTGGGAACTTACTTTACTTTCTCAAAGTTGGAGGCTCATCTTTTACTAGTGATTCAGCGAGGATGTCCATTCTGAGGTGGAAATGGTTCTCTAAGGACATCTGGCTGCAGCTGAAATTGCCCATCTCTCAGAGCTCTTAACAAGGTCTACATGATGTAAAGTTCAAAACGTCCTAATAGGACCACATAGCATGGCTAATGAAGGATTTCAGCCTTTGGGAAAAAAAAGAAGACAGGGTTATTTAAAACCAAACTCTTTCATTTAAGAGTGATGGTCTTTTAGTGAGTGCTCAAGAAACCCATAAAAGGGCCTGGAAAATAAGACAAGAGGGCCCCAAATAGTCAGAACCATAAGAACTACCCCTAGCATTGGAAATACTCTACCCATTTCCAATTTCGTGCCCCCTTTGTGTTCTTTTCCCTGCTGTGAGCTAAGGATAAAGGAATTTTGATGATTAAAAAAAAAAGATTAGATCATTTCCTTCTGGTTCTCAAACAGATTTATTAGATCCCATCCCAAAATGATGAAGTTTAACATTTTGGTTTGGTGTTTAGGAACCTACAGGGTCTGATCCCAACATTGCTCTTCAGTTCCTTGTTCCTTGTTCTCTATCACACCCCCTACATGCATGGTATACCAGCCAACTCTTGGCAGCTTTGCCCATTAGCTCATCTTGTGTTCTCTGCATAAAAAGTGTTTCCTACTCCCATCATTCCTCCACCCTGCATTCTGTTTACAGAACTCAAATTCCCTCCCTATGAAGAGAATAAACCGTACCCCCTACTGTATGCCAGAGGCACTTTGCTTGCCCGAATTCCCCTGGGCCTGGATAATAGCTAGCTCTGCCCAGGTCTGCTTCTCCACAGGACTCTGAACAGCCAGAGGGGGAGCCTGGCTGTAAAGGGTTGTCTCTCCCTGTGCCTAGTCAGGGCCTTGGATACAGGAGGCCTTTGTAATCAATGGTTGTGCAGTGACTGGTGTGTTCTTTTTTTTTTAACTCAGATTTTTTTAGTTCAAAATATGTCACATATTCACACTCAAAAAAGGACAAAAAATGACCAGTCACTGTTCTCTAGCTACCCAATTTCCCTTCTAAGAAAAAATACCAGTATTATCAGCTTTTTATGAATCCTTCTAGAGAAATGTGAAAACATTTATTCCTCCTTTTTAAAATAAATGGGATCATACTCAGGTTTGCACTTTACTTTTTTACTTTACTATGTACATATACACATATTCTAAAAGTTGATTTAACCAGTTGACTTATTGAAAACATAGGTTGTTTTCATTCTTTTGTTATTAAAAACAATACTGCAATGAATAATCTTGTATATTTGCCATGTTCACATGTGTATTTATGTAGAAAGAATTTCTGTATGTGGAATTACTAGATCAGTAGGAGTGGGCCTTTTTAATCTTGATCAGTGTAATTTTTAAATCCATCAGCAATATGTAGGAGTTCCTGTCCCCCCAACTTTGCCAATGTGTTATCAAACTTTTTGACAAGTTTCATTAAGAACATTACAGTTAGCTCTCATTTGAAATGTGTGTCTAATACATTAATGATCATACTGGGGTTGAAAAATCATCAAAGGTATCTGGGGGTGTGACAATCTGGAGATTCTAACCTTATGTTCATAGAAAGTAATTCTTTTTTGACCCCAAGCATAATTAAGGAATGAGGTAGAAAAATGTCATAGATAGCCTGCATTAATAAGGAGACTTCACTTCTGTAGAGCAATTTACAGATTTTAGATTCATTTATATACTCTGATTTGGCCAATAGGTACATTCCTATACTTTCAAGAATTTAAAGCATAACCTGTAGGAGACAGCTTGATGAACACATGATTTGTAGGCTGACGTTTTGGATAAGATTTTGGTAGGAAAGAGACCACTTAAGAGGTCAGAAGTCTCTGAAATCTCCTCTACAGCTGCGTTGTAAAGATTGAGTGGGATGATGTCTGCAAAATTTATCACAGTACCTGACAGATAATAGGCACTCAATAACTGTAGCTGTAACTGTTAGTTAAAAAGACATGTTTATGTGGTGGTGATGGCAGATTAAGGGGCTACTTTGGTGATATTATCTGCCCTCCTGGAGGTAAGGGCCCAGGAGTCTGGGAAGTTCCTCTTTAGCGCTCATTAACAGTGTGTCTTTGAGCACATGCCCTAACCTCTCTGGCCTGTTTTCCCATCTGTAAAGTGGAAGAATAAAAGCCAGGACTCAGGGTTTACTCTGGAGCTTAAATGTGTAATACTCGTAAGTGCTTACTACATATAAATACTGTTCTTTCCCCCCCAATCTAATGGCGGAGGCGTGGAACAAAACATCAAACAACCCAATTCCCAATTATTCTAGTAAACTAGAGGGATCAAGACCTGGACGACGCGGGGAAGTCAGTTCTGGCCAGTTCGCCTAGTGTCGAAGGGAAAGGGTCACGGAATGACAAGTGATCACTCAGTCCCCCGAAGCCACCCCTCCCACAAAGCTCTGGAGACCGGACCTCAGGGAGGCCGCAGAAGCCCAAAGATCACCCTGGCAACAGCACCTTCCGGTCTGCTCTAGCTGTTCCCCCCTCGCCCCACTTCCGGTTCCGGCGTAGTGCGTCATCGCTAGGCGACGGGCTGCGGGTTTCCGGGGAGAGTTGCATCGGGGCGTTCGTCCGGGGGTGTTGGTCTGTGAGGGTGGTGGTTGCGGGGCCTGACCTCGGCGTCGCCACCTGCACCCAGGGCTCGGCCGGGCTATGGAGGGCGGAGGGCGGCCCTCGCTGGGCCAGTTCATCCTCCTGGGCACCAGCTCTGTCGTCACCGCCGTCCTGTACTCCGTGTACCGACAGAAGGCCCAGGTCGCCCAAGAGCTCAAGGTCAGTGCTGGAGCCTGGCCTCAGCCGGGTCGTCTGTGCCCCCGGTAATAGTGAGCCCACAATTCGCCTTTGGCCGCTCCACCGTCGGCAGCTACCCCAAAGAGGAAACAGACTCTGAGAGGGCGTCGCCCTGCCAGTAAATGGAGGAGTTAGGATCGCAAGTCGTGTCTTGTAGCAGCTGCTTCGCTGCGCCTTTTCTTCTGAGTCCCTCCCGTTACTCAGAATGAATCTTGATTTCATTACTTTTTCCGACAAATATTTGTTGAACACCTGTTACACTCCTGACCCTGGGGCATCACATGGATAGAGTAAAAGCCCCTGCCTTCGTGGAGATTCCATTCTAGTACAACCAGACAGACAGTAAATCAAGCGGTATGACAGACGGGGATAAATACTACCGAGTAATGCAGGGAAGAGGGGAAATGGAATGTTGGCGAAAGGGAGGTTTACTATTTAAAACAAGGTGACATTTGAGCAGAGCCCAGGAGATGACGGGGACCTTGCAGACATCTAGGTGAAGAGCAGTTCAGAGGGAACAGCAGGTACACAAACCTTACACCTTGCCCATTTATAGAATCACTCAGCCCCTTCTACGGACTTTCTTTTTTATATTTCTGTTATTTAAAAAATAACCACTCTTGAGCTGCACCTTACAGCTTATACAACACATTCCTGTCTTGTTATTTTCCCTCACAATAACTTCTTGAGGTAGAGAAAATGACAGTTACCTCCAGACTGTTGGCTAGATGTGGGATTCTTTGAAGTGGTGAACTCTCCACAATCCATTTTTGGATGGCCTTAAAAGTTTCTTTGCCAGTTAGTCCCTAAATGAGGATGAAATAGCCCCTTCCTGGAAAAAGAATTGAGATGCCTAATAACTTTAGATTCTATTTTCTTGATCAGATTCGAGAAATTCCAGAGTAAGGTTTGTGTCTTATCCGGTGTATCACTCAGGAATACATATTTATTGCATACCTACTGTGTGCCAGCCCCTGGGCTAAATTCTCTCTTACCTTAAGGTTTATTTAATCCACATAAAAATCCTGTGAGATTATTCTCCTATCCTTTATAGTTTTGGAAACTGAGACAAATACATTGAGTTGCTCAAAGTCACAATGAATGGGTGCATGAAGCTTGATTAACCCTAGGCCTTTCTGACCACATTCCTCCTTTTCCCCTTTTAAAAAATTCTATCTGGCTATCCTGTGGTGGATACTTTACCAGCTGTGTGACTTGTTGCAATCATTTAATCTCTTTGAGCCTCAGTTTCCTTGTCTGTAATTGTGGATAATAATGTCTACTGTGAAGACATGTATGAGCATCAAATGCATTTATGTACTTAAAATGCTTAGCATAGTACCAGGTATATAGCATATAGACGTGCTTATTTATTCACTGATTTATTTACTAAATACATAAGGAGTGCCGGCTACATGCCAGGCACCTTTCCTGGCACTGGGGTCACAGTGAACAAGATAAACAAGGTTCGAGCTCTCCTGGAGTTTAATAGTGCACAGAGTGAGACAGACAATAATGAGTAAATAGGCTGTGTTTGTTGTTGGTTGTTATGGCTGTTAGTACCTTCACAGTGTAGGTGGTTAATAAGTTTTTATTGACCTTGCTCCTATTATTGAATGTGTAGCAGTAGCTTAAACTTGGAGTGACCTTAATGTGTATCCAGTACTTCATCACCTTTTTAGAGGTTACTTACCTGGCATCCTTAAGATTTGTTTTCCCTGAAAGTGGGAACTGTCCTTCATTCATCCCTGAATCCCGAGTGCCCAGCACAGTGCCTGCCACATAGATGCTCAGGAAATTTTCATGGGTTTTATTACTTTTCTCTTATTTTTGATTCAGTAGTAGCAGGCGTGGTTGTTTCCCAAGCACAACACGTTGGAAACTGTGAATTGGAAGGGGTTGGAAAACTAGGGATTGTTAGAGGAAGATGGCAGCAGAAGTCACATGCTCCCCAGATAAAGGGGAAGAAAGACTGACATGTGGAAGACTAATGTTTGGCCGTGCCCTGTAAAGCAAAGGCACCCCTTTATCAGGTTCTTCCAATTCCAGGTTCTTCCAAAACTTTATCATAATGTAGAATGCAGAACAGGAATTGATCAAGGCATGGTGCTAGTAACACCTGCCATTGCATGCACTGGGCACCACCAGTTTTAGCTGCTTCCACATAAACCCTTTGGATGCATGGTCCTGTGTTGTCAAGAAGAGATTAAATTATGTTCAGTCTAAGATATGCAGACTGATTGGTAACTTTCATAGTTTCATTTAAAAAAATCTTGAAATGAAAAGGAGTGTATGTTTCCACTAGCGGGAGAAATAGTGTTTGTGGCACCCCCATTGTGCGGGTGGCAGTGAGGGAGGCACTGCCCCATAACTGTTCATATGTTAGAACTTCTGAGACACGGCTTTGGAGTCTGATTCTCTGTAGTCTCTTTCCTGCCTGACTTCCTAATTCTCTCAAGATGAAAAAAGTAAATAGTCTTTATTCTTTTTGGCTCTTTAAGTTTGATTGAACGTGTTAAGTAGTCAACATCAATTTAATATGTTGTTTGCATTTAGGGAGCTAAAAGAATCCACTTGGGTGAAGACTTAAAGAATATTCTTTCAGAAGCTCCAGGAAAATGTGTGCCTTATGCTGTTATTGAAGGTATGTTTATTTATTGGTAAAATGAAAAATAACTTGCTCTTGTAAAAGTTTTGATAAAGATCTTTTTGGCTGATGTTAGTTAAGGGCCTTCTGTAGTTTTGTGGCCGTGGCAGTGGTCCAGAACTTGGACTTTGGAGTCATAAAGAACTGGGTTGTTTCTATGTGATTTTGGGGAAATTTTCTGAACCTCTATTGCCTATCTCTAAAGTAATTCCTACCTTACAGGATTGTTGTAAAACTAAAATAAGATGATTCATGTAAAGTGCTTAGCCGAGTGCCCACGAAACATAACTTATGGTGATAACATTTTCATCATTTTGATTAATTAAACTAAAACTGAAAACAAAATTTCAATTACTTGGAAGGATAGGACAGTTCTTCAGAAATAGAATAATTTGTTTCCATTTAGGCGCTGTCCGATCTGTTAAAGAAACACTTAACAGCCAGTTTGTGGAAAATTGCAAGGGGGTGATTCAGCGGCTGACACTTCAGGAGCACAAGATGGTGTGGAATCGAACAACCCACCTCTGGTACGTAATCTTTCTCTACTGTCCAAACTCTCACGGTTGATCAGTTCAAATGCTGGTGTCCTGAATACTGTCTACACATCACCTTCTCCTGAGACAAGGCACAGACCAGTTTCTTAATGCTAATACTATTCTTGTGTGTAGACTGAGGACCTCTTAACATCAGAGTCTCAGAGGCATCTTGTTCAAAGGCAGATTCCTGGGCTGCATTCCAGACCCCCCAAATCAGAATTTCTAGGATAGGGGGCCTAGAATCTATTACTGGGCCCACCAGAGTTTGAGAACTACTGTTTCATGGCATAGATGAATGATTTTGGCATTTATTAGGACAATTTTCTGCCATTACATGGAGTACCATTTTCCAACTGATGCTACTGGGTTTTTGTTTTGTATTTTTATTTTATTTTGTTTTGTTTACTTATTTTTTTTTAATTATGGTAAGAACACTTAACATAAGCTCTACCCTTTTAACAAATGTTTAAGTGCAGCAATACAATACTGTTAACTGTAGGCCCAAAGTTGTACTACAGCAGGTCTCTAGAACTTATTTGTCTGTATAGCTGAAACATCACACCCATCGAACAGTAAGCCTCTTTTCTTCTCTCCCCCGGCCCCCGAGAACCCCATTCTGCTGTGTTTCTGTGGGTTTGACTGTTTCAGATGTCTCACATAAGTGGAATCATGCAGTATTTGTCCCTTTGCACCTGGTGTAGTCGCTTAACGTAACGTCCTCCAGGTTCTTCTGTGTTGTTGCTTATGACGAAAGGAGGATAGCCTTTCACGGCTGAGTAATCCTCCTGTGTGTGTCAAGTTTTCTCTACCCATTTCATCAGCTGATGGACATTTAGGTTGTCTCCATGTCCTGGCTACTGTGAATAATGCTGCCCTACCTTGGGAGTGCAGATAATGTCTTTGAGATCCTGATTTCAATTCTTTTGGATGGATACCCAGAACTGAGATTGCTGGATCGTATGGTAGTTCTATTTTTAACTTTTTAAGGAAGTGGAAATTTAAAGTGGCCAAGGGAAATGAACAGCAGAGGTGGTCTGTGACAGTATTTGTTGCCTGCTCGTACCATCTGAGAACCTAAAAAATTGAACTTCTCTCTTAAGAGATGGTTGGCTGGTAGATTTCAGTTGTGTCCTTCCAGTTACTTCTGATGTCATCCTGTTGTCCTAGTGTTTAGGCAGCCTCCATCTCTGCCTGGCTGTGAGGCGCTTGCTGGTTTTATTTCATTTGGAATTCTCTTGTTGCTTTAGGAATGACTATTCAAAGATTATTCACCAGAGGACCAACACGGTACCCTTTGAGCTGGTGCCCCATGAGGATGGCGTGGGTGTGGCCGTGCGAGTGCTGAAGCCCCTGGACTCGCTGGATCTGGGCCTGGAGACTGTGTACGAGAAGTTCCACCCCTCTGTCCAGTCCTTCACGGATGTCATCGGCCACTACATCAGTGGTGAGCAGCCCAAAGGCATCCAGGAGACTGAGGAGATGCTGAAAGTTGGGGCCACCCTCACGGGAGTAGGCGAACTAGTCCTAGACAACAACTCCATCCGCTTGCAACCCCCCAAGCAGGGCATGCAGTACTATCTGAGCAGCCAGGATTTTGACAGCCTGCTGCAGAGGCAGGAATCAAGTGTCAGGCTCTGGAAGGTCCTGACGTTGGTTTTTGGCTTTGCCGCATGCGCTGCGCTCTTCTTCCTCCTCCGAAAGCAGTATCTGCAGAGGCAGGAGCACCTGCGCCTCGAGCAGATGGAGAAGGAGTTTCTGGAGCATGAGGCCCGGCTGCTGAGCCAGGCTAAGCCTGAGGACAGGGAGAGCCTGAAGAGCGCCTGTGTTGTGTGTCTGAGCAACTTCAAGTCTTGCGTCTTCCTGGAGTGTGGGCACGTCTGTTCCTGCACCAAGTGCTACCGTGCCTTGCCAGAGCCCAAGAGGTGCCCCATTTGCAGGCAGGAGATCACTCGGGTGATCCCCTTGTTCAGTAGCTAACAGTCTTGAAGCCCCACAGGTAGACATGGAAGGAAGCCCCCTGCCCCCCTCCGGGGATCTTTATCTCAAAGCCTTAGAAGGGCCGCTGCTAGTCCCCAGGTATGATTGAGGGAGGGGGTCAGGGAAGTATCCAGATCTCCTACCTCTCTCAGTAGGACGGTGCCATTCAACCTGAGATGGGGCCCTTTCTTACCCAGCGTGAGAGTCAAAGCCCCATCCTGGGTGGGTATGGTGGCGTGGCGTTCCTTCCCGGGGACCGGGTGCGTGTACGTGAAGACTGAGCACACCTCACTGCTTAACGCCAAAGCCAGCGATCTTCAGCTCCTAGGTTCCTGTGTCTTCTGGTCCTTCCTGGTGAATGGTTGATTCCTGTGGACTTGAGCATTAAGTACTCGGCCAGAGGGAGGCCAGGTTGGGCTCTAAGTGCGGTGTGTGCCCCCCAGAGCTGCCTCTGAAGAGACCCTGCCACAGTCTTCTCCTTGTGCCTACACCCCAGGAAACAGTGGTCAGGCTGGACGTACTACTTGGGTCCTTTCCTCTCACGTGCTTGCCTCCTAAATGTGTGCACATGCATATCAGGACACCAGAAAGTGGAGTCCAGCATCTGCCTTCTAGCCGAGAGGAGGACTCTGGTCAGAATGAAGAGCGAGCACTTCAAGGGGCAGATGGAATGGTGGTCATTCAGTGCTCCCCAGCAGTATAAAGACAGGGCAGCCTGACTGCAGCCCTCCTGGTGTTCCCACCGGAGCATGCCGCTGGCCCTGACTGGGAACTTCTGTGGCCTGAGAGGGCTGAGGGGTGGCTCAGCTTTTCCCTGCCTGAGGTAAACCAGGAAGGCCTCACCACCTGGAAATAATAAGGATGCTGCCTGGCTGCTGAACTCTCGCCAAGGAGAAGCAGCCTGCCAGCCTCCTGAGCATGGAGCCTTTTCCAGCGCACCCCTCTACAACTCAAAAGTTGATATCCCATGGGTGTAGTCACGTGGCCCCTTCCTGTGTTGCTGTTTGCCCCCCACCTGCCCTCTTGAGTTTGTGAGTGTCACAGAAGTGAGGGAATCTCTCTCACTTCCTCTGAGTGGTCAGAGGCCATGTACATAACTCTTCCTTATCTCCCTTCCCTGGCTTTCATTCATCCCCTGATCCTCCTTTGTGCTGGGGAGGAGGGGGTACTCGGGGCTGACACCAGTTCTGTGGTGTGTCCAGTGGGGACAGCACAAATTAAACATGTTACAACCAAGTGTTAGCCTGTTGCTTTGTCAGCCAGGGGTCAGTGGTTAGGCCAGGTTTCCTTGGGATGGAGTTGGTCCCACCATGATGGAGTGAACTGGAATCTGATCAAAGTGATTGAAAAGAAGGGAAGGCACCTTGAGGCCTTTGTGTGTGTCTTCCCCCTCGGCCGAGGCGGTTTGGGGCTCCCACAGATGGTGTGCCACTAGGTGATGCTTAGGCTGGAGAGGGGCCGTCCTGGAGAGCAGCCCAAGGCTTCTCCTGGCCTCATGAGCCAGTGGTCTTTGCAGTCTGTGCTGACGTCCTGAATGGCTGCGCAGGAGAAGCGGACAGAGGTGCTGGGGGTAACTGACACTGAGTACCGTACTGTGGGCTCTTATGAACTTCAAGTTCAAAGTGAGTTAATCCTCACAAAATCTGGTTAGGGTTTCACAGTGTCTGCATTTTACACATGAGGAAATAGCCCAGAGGGGAAATTCAGTGGGCTGAGGACACACTGCCAGTAAGTGCCAGTCCAGATTTAAACTCCAGACTGTTTCCAAAGCTCTGGTCCTGCTCTCTGGCAGCGGGGCTGGTGAATTCCCTCTGTGCTCTCAGGAACACCCCACGAGATGCTTGTTCCCCAGGTGCAGGGGGCCAACTCGGGGACAAACAGAAGTACTGAGTCTTGTCTAGTGAGGGGGCAAGGCCCTGGTTTTACCCCGAGGTGCCAGGCAGGGCAGAGTGAGAGGGTGAACTCCGAGGCACCTCAGTGCCTGCAAAGCGTCTAGGCCTTTGTCCTTGTCCTTTCAGCACTTGCTTTGTAAGAGCGCCCGGGATGGACAGACTGCCTGTGGGGTTCAGCCCTCAGCATAGATTTCATGAGTAAATCTGATCAAAGTGATTGGAAAGAAGGGAAGGTGCCTGCCCTACCCCAGCCCAACTCTAATCCTGGGCAGACCAGTCCTTCCACCGTGAGCGTTCCTCCAAACTGAACTCCACGGAGAGACCCAGGAGCAGCGCGCTGGGCCCACCTCAGGAAGTGACTGCTGGTTGGGAACATGGATTCGCACATGCCCAGGTTCTGGATTTGAGGGCCAGGCTCAGTCCTAGCCTGGCTGGGCCTGACTCCCATGCTTGTGGCTGTTCCCACCTCCCATTTTAGGAGCCTCATCTCCAGGAGGGTTGAGTGGGGCCTGAACTGGTACCTGGGGCCTAGGGTGGGAATGTGGGGGTGAAAGGGAGATGAGGAGATAGGAAGTTAGTTCTGAACTTGGGGATTGCTGTGAATTTTGACCCTTTGCTCTAAGTCAACCCTTGTGCTCCGTGACTTTAATCCCAGGCAGACAGCACTAGGCAGGGATCATGATAAATAACTGGTCCTGGTGTTTTGAGCGTCTGTGCTAGGCTCTTCATGTGCGTTAGTGCTGGCAGTCCTGCAAAGTGGATGCCATTACCCCCACTTCACAAGTGCGACCAGTGAGGCTCAGTGGGGTTACATTTTGCCTACAGCCACACGTCATCATGAGCCAGGCACTGTTAGGTTCTCTACATCGTTTCTAAGCTCTACGGCAAACAAGCAGCAGAGGCCATATTACTGCTCTTTACAGGTTATGTGATTTGTTTGAAGGTACCAAGGTCTGACTCTGGAGCCCCCACTCTGCCTTTTATCACATTAAGTCCGAGATGCTAAAATGCAAAGTTGTCCAACAGACAACCAAATGTTAGAGACACACAGCATTTTCCAAGCCAGTCAGCACCTCACGAATCTCCAGTCACACCCTGGTTTTTCATACCACAGGTGGAGGCTTGAGGTTCCCCAGCTTATCCTGGTGAAGCAGGAGCTGGAAGGCAGGTCTTTGGAATCTTGATTCACTCGGAGTTATGAAGGAAAATTCAAGAAGCAAACAACAACATGTGGAAAAACAAAAAAGCAAACATGACAAACTCAGCCGATCTGACACCCTCTCCAACCCTGGCCCCGGGCTGTGAAGACTCCAGTGGGTGAGGATCTGATGCTGATGCTCCCACGGGGCCTCCGGGATGCTCAGAGGAACAGCCTGTCAAGTTTGGTATTATTGATGGGCATTTAGTCACCTAGCAAACATTTGCTAAGTATATTATGTGCCTGGAAATGCAAAAATGAGTTAAGTCTGTCCTTGAGGGCTCAGAACTGTCTTTTAATGTGTCCTAATAGTTTGAAAAGGAGCAAACCGTACCTGTGGCAACTCTCAGTTGTTGGAAATATTTGTGGCTCACAGAATCCTGGAGCTGGGAAGGGCCTTTGTGATTGGCCTGGTTAGAGGAAATTTCCTGACCATTCAAAATAAAACCAAGGGCAGTTAATTATTGCTGAAGGGGAGCCAAGCAGAGAACATAGACCCCTCAGAGCCTACAACGATCTGCTTAAAACAACCTGAGCATTTCTTCCTCTGCTTAAAGCCCTTCCCAAGCTCCCTGCCATGTGCAGGCTCACATCCTGGCTCTTCTGTGGCACATGAAGGTGTGCGTGACCACCTCGCCGAGCCTCTTCCCATTTCTGTCTCACATTTGTGCTCCAGCAACAGAGCCGTTGAAGTTCCTTGAACGTTTAATGCTGTTCCCTGCCTCCCAGCCTTTGCTCAGGCTGAGTCCTGCCACTGGAGTTCTGGTTCTTTCTTCACCTTGTTAATGTCTACTCACCCTATAAAACTCAGCTTTTGGTGTCTCCTGCAGGAAATCTTTCCTGACTTGCCACCTAGGCTGGGTTAGGTGTCCTTCCTCTGAGATTCCATAATGCAATCTTCTCTTCCTGCTCTTAGCCATATTGCTCATATCTTGAGCAGAATTGTATCTTATTTCCTTTCCTGCCCAATTTTTAGGTCCTTACTATGTGCTAATTAGAGCTAACATGAGGGCTTGCTCTGCCAAGTCCCTGCTCGGTGCTGTGCATGACTGATGTCATTTAATCTTCACCATGAAGCATGCGTTTTTATTGTTCGTTCTTTGAAGAAAAGGAAATAAAGACCCAGAGAGATCAAGTGTCTTCCTTAAGCACATGAGAAAGACAGAATTTGAGCCTAGGGCAATCTGACTCCAGAGCCTGGGTTCTCAACCACTGAATGCCCATAGAATGAATGAGTATACTATCAAATGAAATAGATGTGGGACAAACAATCCTGGAAGACTTCCTGGGGGAATTGGTTTTTAGGCCACAGATAAAGGCCGTGGTTTTGTTATAAGGAGAGAGGGAAGGGCCTCTCTTAGGGCCTAGAACCAAGGTGGATGACTTTTGTAAGAGAAACATCACATCTGGTGGCCTGACCAGAGCTTTGAAGTTTCCACACAGCAAAGTTGGGGCAATGTCATTGCACGGTAGTAAATGGTCTGGATTGGGAGCCTAAAGGCTGACTTTCTTTCTGGTCCTGGCTCTGTTGCTGTGTGATCTTAAATGGAGTGATTTAACCTCTCTGGAGCTCAGTTCTGCCTATAAAAGAAACAAGTTGGATTAGAAGCTTTTCAAGGCTCCATTCAACTCTGACATTTTACAAGCCTATGAGACGGCAGGTGGATGAGGGGCCAGGGAGGGAGGTTGTGAGGCCTTCCTTAGGGCTGCTGGTCCAAAGGTGAGATGTAGACCCTCATCAGGCTAGCTGCCTGCTACAGCCTCAGGACCATGTTCCCAGAAAGCCAGGGAAATCAGCACATTTTCTCTCTAATTAGACAGTGTTAACTTATCAATTTTGTATGAGATAAGTTTCCATGTACGATGTCCTGAATCGCTCCCCGGAGTACTCATTAGTCACTTCCCTTGCAGCTGCCTTTTTGTTTTCCAGATGCCAGCCAAGGGCCCTGGCATTTCCCTTCCCTGAGAATGGGGCATGTGAGGCTGAGCCAGTGACACTGACTTTGGTCAGAGGGGCCGACCCAGACTGGGTGAGGGCCTGCCTGGTGATCTACCATGGCCCTCATCTCTTGCCCTTTACCTTCTATCCCTGCCAGAGCCACTGCCCCACATGAGGTGTTTCAAATCCAGATTCCTCCAGGCTTGGGCCATGACCCTGGAGGCCTACAACTGAACTCAACAAGCATTTATTGAGCAACTAGTGGACCAGGCACTTTGTTATCTGTAACCTGATTTTCTCTAGGCTGGGGGGAGGGGTCTACAAATGAGGTCATACTAATATCAGTGTCCAAATTGCCATAACTACAGACCTTCCTCCTCATGTAGTCTTCCTTAGTATTTAAGGTGTCTTGTCGGATGGGGCTTCATGTATGCCTGCAGTAAGTTGCTAAGTTGGCTCGTATTTGTCCCTACCATCCCCATGGAGGGACTCATGATGGGAGCCCTCCTAATGCTGCAATCTCTGCTCTGCCCTCCAGGTGGCGCTGTGCCCCTATGGTTAGGGTGGGCGGGAGGCCTTGGAGGAGAATCTGAGGCCGCTCTCTCTCTCCTTCCTGAGAAATTAGGAAAGAGACCTGAGAGCCGTCTGAGGAGGACCCTGGGCGGCTCAGCCCAGGTCCAGCTGAGCGCGGCCTGCATAGGGGAGAAGCAGGAACTTTCTCTTCAGCTTCTTCCTTCTCTGACCTGTTCATCAGGAAGTGGAGCCCAGATGTGAAAATTTTGAGAAACCCAGAAAATTTGGGGGTGTTGGCAATCCCACATTCTCCCCTGGTTGATTTCCAGGCATTCACATCTTTCAATACACTAACCATGATTTCTTTCAACAAGACAAGATATGCGTAATGTATCACATGTTCTTAAAATACCCAGATGACTTCACATTGATAAAGGATGCTTAAAAAATTGTATGACATAGATATTTATTTTCTCCCTAGAAGCTTTTCTCTCGGTGGCAGAATCCTGCTTCTTCCAGCCTGGCCTGCTTTCCTCACTCTCATCTCCTCTGTCCTGTCTGCCTGTTGCTCCCCTCCCTAGGTGGCAAGCTCCTCTGTCCCCTTTTCTGCTGCCTCTTGTAGGAGACAAAACTGACCGTCCCCTACTTTACTCGGCACTCTGCCTCTTGTCGGCCCTGTTGTCTCTTGCCTTGG